TGCCTACTAAACGGCACAAGAGCCTACTGAGTTTAGAGCCTATGCTCTGAAAATGCTCTATTCATTGTGAGCTTATTTCTAGGGATGTGCATAAGCAAAAAATTTGGTTCAGTTCGGTTCGGAAATTCGGGTAAGAAAAAAAATTCGGCACTTTGGCAATTCGGTTCACTTCAGCAATTCCGAAATTCGGGACTTCAGTAATTCGGAACATCTGCACGGCTCGCCTAACACTAACCCTACCCCGAACCATTCCCCTGTCATCATTCACATAATTTTCCCTCCCTCTCTTGTTTTGCCACTTTTCAGAAATCTGAAGCACTTCAGCACTTCGGAAATTCGTCCAAATTCACATTCGGAACAAAACAAATTGCACATGTCTATTTATTTCCACTCACTATATGTGTGGTTAAATATTTACTTACATACTATACTCTAATTCTTAATTTTTTCCCTTTCTTTGCATTATATATATCCATATTTGTTGCACTTGTAAAGGTAAGTCCCCAACATTTATTTTAAAGCACTGCACTCGCACTTTATATGTTAGGGGTCAGGGCCGCCATCAGGGCATGACAACCATGACGGTGATCATGGGCCCAGTGGTCCTGGGGGACCCGGACTGCTCTGGGAGTTCTGGGCCCCACATTGCTTAAGTACACGTATATATAGCGATTTCCATTATATCTATGTGTACCTGCGTGCCCCCGGCTACCAGTTTATTGCGGAAGGGGGCGGCAACACACTCTCTCTTCCCTTCCCAGCAGCTCCCCTTTTTAAATCTCGCAAGTCCCGAGAGTTAGACAGGGGAGCTGCTGGGAAGGGAAGTGAGAGTGTGTTGTGGGCCCCCACTGCAGATTCCAGCTGCTGGCTGCAAACACCATGCCACGGGACCACCAGAAAACACGATCTCCCCCTTCCCTGGCCAGGTAAGAAGCAGCGAGGGGGGAGTAAAATAAAATGTTATAAAATATATATTTTTTTAAAGTTAAAAAAATTCAAATGACCCTTTCCCCCAGTTTACACACATTACATGCCTACACAAACACACACTCTGCATTCATTATATACACACACACTACACAAACACACACTCTGCATGCACTATACATACGACATCTAATACATACTACATCAACTACACAAACACACACACACTACATCCACCACACAAACACACACTCTGCATCTAATATACACCTCATACATTACACATACATTATCTGCATCCACTATACACACTGCATCCATTACACACACACTGCTACTCACTTTACACACGCACTCTGCATCCACTACACACATTCTACATCCATTATACACACACACCACAATCAGTACACACACTGCATCCGTGTGGGCGGACTCAGGGGCAGCCCTTTGGGTGGACTCGGGGGCGGCACTGTGGGCGAACCTGTGAGCAGACTTCGGGGCAGGCCCTGGGGGGCCCAGACCTTGAGCTGTGTCAGGGGCCCCAAAATTTCTGATGGCAGGCCAATAGGGGTATATCACCTAAACTAAAGTGCACATTTGAAACACAATAAGTAATCTAATTTCCATCACGTGAACTCCCTAAAACTAGGGGAGAAAGATATTGGAAAATAGGGGGAAAAAAAGTAGTCACTATCTTTAAATCCTAAGTATGGGCATGAACCAAATATCATACACGCGGGAGCAAAAGGAAATGGACATTTGGTCTAAAACCAATAGAATTAGAGAGGAATAAATAATAAAAAGAAATAACTTTATTAGAATAAAGAAACGACAATATCCAGGAAACGGACTACAAAATATGTCTTTGGAAACGAAATAAAGTGTGCCAGTGTGTAATTAAAACATAGGTGACTTCAGCAATGCTTCCAGAACAAGTAGAAATAATAGACCAGAAAAATGAGTAGCAAGTATCCATTTGAAAATGGAAATACACCTAATAATATAACCGGCAATAAAAACAGGCTCCGATCTATATCTGATCTGTCAGCATCCCTCAACGGCCAAAAAAGTGTGAATGTAAAGTGCAAAAGGTAAACGGTAAGTGGTGATTGATGCGGGTAAACAAAATAGAAATAAGCAGTAAATGGAAAAGAAGAGAGAAATAATCTATGACTACCTACCAGTGCATCTTAAATAATGGGTGCACCTACATACCACTAGGGGAAACAGCAGGTCCCCATTAGAGATAATGTAGAGCCTAATCTCTATATATCCGGTGACAGAGGCTGTGTCTAGATGACATATTAATGTATTACACAGGGCAGTGCAGGCAAACTAGAGAAGTGCTTGACGGTTGCATCGTTGGATTTTGGGCTCCGGGAAGAAACAGCCCACCCCGTATAAATCACGGCACAGGAGGTATGGGTAAAATAATTCCACAGGTTTTAATAAAGTAACTTAGTGCATAACCTTTTTGGGTCATTGTCACACACCCATTTAAACAATCTATATAAAACCATCCAACACTGACAATGACCCACACATAAAATACTGACAACCAAATAACCTCATAAACATAGCACCATAAAGTGCAATTAACATGTCCTTCTCCTCCATAGGAGGAATACCATAGGGGTATACCATGATTCCCCTACCACCACTAGTTTCTGAGCCACAGGCCAGCTCGAAACCTGCAACACCAACCTTAAAACCAAATTAACTGATTATTTAACCCCTTAAATAAACATAATAATAATAATACAACTCCTTCCCCCAATTAATCTAACTCTCAAGCCCCCGATGCTGTGACCAAATGGGGAAATAAATGAACCACCACGTAAATGAAAAGGAGGTTGGGTGGGACAAGATTAGGTCAGCAGAATGAGATTAGAATGAGGTATCTTTTAAAATGGCTGCCCAATATATATACAGCCATCCCCCTAACTGCCCATAGCCAAACCCATACTACTTCCCATAATGTCCACCTCATCATCCAATCAAGGCACACTTCACTGAGCTGCACTTGCTACTAGGGCTTCAATGAATTCTGCATACCTCGGCCTGCTTAAAAGCAATGTGTAGAATACTAAAAGAAGATATCTATATATATATAAATAAAATACTTATTTACCAGAGAAAACCACAGACCAGTTATTACACAATGCCTACTGAGTATCTGCCTTATACAACTATTTATACTGTGAAAAAAGTTCTACCCATACTGCATACGTGCAAAAAACAAGTGACCAGGCTAATTGCCCGACACACATATCGGTTCTCCAAACAGCACCTTCGTCAGGGTAAAATTTTTATTTCATTTTACCCCAGAAGAAGGTGCCATTTGGAGCACCGAAACACGCATCTGGCGTATAGTCTGTCCACTTGTTTTACTACACTTATAGAAAACAGTCAGATACTATAAAATTGTGTTTGTTCCACACCCTGAAGGAGTGTTCCCATTTTTATGTGCTAATCTTATGTGTAAACTAAGATCGTGTTTAAGGTAATTTACTAATTAATGTAAGAAGGGAATAATTGGGGGTTATCCTCAAAACGGCCAACTAATTCATCTCTACATAAAATATTCTATTCAATTATGCTTGTTGCAACATCTATATACATTAAACAATAAAATAAGTGTTAACCTATTGATTTAATCAGAGTTCCTATACCAAATATAAGCAGAATCATTGTTTGTGTGGACTGTCCTTCACTGGGGACCAAAATGCCTCAGATAGTGATCCCTAAACATATTTCTTTCTTAAAGGACAGAACCTCTTGTTGTTATGGTAACTCCCTAGGCAACACAGTTAGCGCTCGCTGATGGTACTCCAGTCAGTTGCAATAAAGTCAGCGTGTTGGCATCACAGAAGAGGTTTGCCCCGCTTAGGGAAGTGACACAATCAGGGCAAATCAAAGGGGATAGTGGATGAGGAAATCAACTTTACACATCTCTAGGGATCAATTCACTAAGCAGAGAGTTGACAAATTGCTAAAAATGAGTTGGAGATTTTCTATTACAGCTAGGTTATTTTGGTATACATTTTGCAAGTCAGCAATTTATTTTGAGAATAAATGAACTCATTCTGTAAATACATTTTACCTTGACCACATTGTGCCTTTAAGAAAAAGCACATGAGCTTTCATAGACATCACAGCCTGTAATTACAAAGCCTTGAAAATAATATACAATGCCATATGGAAGGAACAAAAGTCTATTCAAAGGGTATTGTAGGTGGCAAATGAAAGGATTTATATCCCCTTCTACCATATGTTTACATTTGCATTCTCCACCCATCTATTGGGAACATTTATAAGAAGGTAGATTCTTTGTTCAGCAATTCTTGTATCTATAGCTCAACAGTAAGGTCTCGAAAATCATAAGAACAACAATTCCCAATATTTACATATTACAACTATGATGAGCTTGCCTTCATTCAGAAAAACAGACAACCCAGCTTGCAAAAGCTACTGCACCACCCCCCTCCATACACACAGGGGTGTATTTACCACAAGGCAAACAAGGCATTTGCCTAGGGCGGCACTTTCAGGGGGGGGCAGAAAAAAACGCTCCCAAGTGCCCAGGTAAATGCCTTGTTTGCCTCGTGTACTGGGAGGCTCAAGAGCTGGCTGCCACCTTAGGGCCCCCTCTAGGTGTTAACGTACTAATATTCTAGCCGGGCGATGAGGGAGATATGTCCTTTTAGATTAAAAAAATATTAATAATTAGTGAGTGTATGAGAAAATATGGGTGTGTCTGGCAGTGAGGATGTTTCTGACTGTCAGTGAGTGTGTGTTTGTGTCTGTCATTGTGAGTGTCTGTCCTTGTGTGTGTGTGTGTGTCTGTCAGTCAAAAGAAAGGCCTTGACACGAATTGGTGGGGCAAATTTAGATAAGGGGTTGCCGAATTTAGTCGTGCCTAGGGCAGCACAAATCCAGAATACACCACTGCATACACACACAGCCACCAAACATGTATGAAAACAGTGACACACCAACAAGAAGCTCTAATAAGACTTAGGAGAGCATCCATACACGCTGCAACGTGGTCGGACCACAGACAAGTGTCGATGGACCTTGAATCTCCACTCATAAGACCGACGAAAACGACGTGGAGACTTAACGACTCCCTTTTAACCGACCTCCCACTGAGGGCCCAAGTCACCGACACTCTACGGACGTACTTTACCGAGAATGAGACGGGAGACGTATCTGATATGACAGTATGGGAGGCACACAAAAGTGTACTCCGGGGCAAGCTTATCCAAATCGCGTCACAACGGAAAAGAGAGGCGGGCGCACTTATGTCAAACATCCTGGACCGGATCCGCTCCCTGGAAACACAACACAAACGTCAACAGGTGGAAGATACCTACAAAGAACTATTAGAGGAAAGAAGGAGACTACACGCACTGCTACTCAAGAGACACCTGAGACAACTCCGTAGATCTAAAGGCTTCTTCTACCTCCACGCAAACAAAGGAGGCAAACTCCTCGCACAAATGCTCAGGGGACAACAACACCCCTCACAAGTCCACAAATGAAAAACACGCGACGGCACTACTACCCAACACCCGGAGAAAATCGCCAAGGAATTTCTCACCTACTACTCCTCGCTCTACAATACACATTCACAAAGCGACGAAGAAGGCAGACGAATCAAACAAGGCCGCATGGAATGCTTCCTGAGAGAACATCTACACACGACGGTGACGGCCGTAGACGCAGAAACCATCGACCGCCCGATCACCGAAGACGACATTAAGACAGCTATCAAAACGACGAAGACAGGACGAGCACCCGGACCCGACGGACTTACGCTGGACTACTACAAACGCTTCCAAGATATACTAGCCCCCAAACTCACAAAGGCGCTCAATGCCATCACTGAGGGACATACATTCCACGCCGAATCACTATCGGCCACAATCACAGTAATCCCAAAACCAGGTAAGGACCCGGAAACCTGCGGCAGCTACAGACCCATCTCCCTCTTAAACGTGGACACAAAACTCTTCACCAAAATATTAGCCACCCGACTTAGCAACCTAATGCCAACACTCGTGCACCCTGATCAAACGGGGTTCATACCGGAACGGGAGGCTCGAGACAGCACTCTGAGAGTTCTCGCTATACAACATCTAGCAAGACAACATGGAACACCACTCCTGCTACTCTCCACGGACGCCGAAAAGGCGTTCGACCGAGTTGACTGGGCATTCTTGAAAACGACGATACGTCTACTGGGGTTTAACGACAACATACAGAAATGGATCGGAGCGATATACAGCACCCCGACAGCAGCAGTGCGTGTTAACGGAGCCCTGACGGAGTCCTTCCAGATTTGCAATGGTATGAGGCAGGGGTGCCCCTTGTCCCCGTTATTGTTCGCATTAACATTGGAACCCCTACTGGAAGCAATCCGACGAAATATTAACATCACGGGCTACACCTGTACAACCGCCACACACAAAGTAGCCGCATACGCGGATGACATGTTGTTCTTCATTACACGTCCAAGACTCACCCTACCATGCCTAATGGAAGAATTCGAAAAATACGGACACCTCTCGGGCCTCAAACTTAACTTAAGAAAATGCGAACTGCTCAACATCACGGACCCACTGGGGGAACACGGGGATATAGCCTCGACCTTCCCGTTCCGATGGTGCCATACCCAAATGAAATACCTGGGGATATGGGTGATGGCTGACCCCAACGCCATCTACCAGAAAAACTTCCTCCCACTCCTCACACGCATTCAACAAGACCTCCGAACCTGGAATTACCCACACATCTCATGGTTCGGCCGCATAGCGGTCATCAAAATGAATATACTACCCAGACTACTATATTTATTCCATACGATCCCAGTGGCATTGCCGACGACCTTTTTCGCGACAATGAAAACCGCATTCCTGACCTACGTCTGGAGAGGATGCAGACCTCGACTAAGATATGAAATATTATGCAAGACCAGGAGTCAGGGCGGACTGGCACTCCCAGACCTACGCAAATACCACCAAGCGACAGCCCTACAACGGATACTGGAATGGCACACTAACCCGAGATGCAAACAATGGGTGGCCTTGGACAAAGAATCAGGCAGCCCATCCATTTTTGCGTCCCTATGGAACCAGAAAACGCCACGGCGTAATGACCCCGGCGCAACCTCGCCGGCGAGTCACACCCTCCACATATGGTCAACAATGAGGAACGCAACGATCATCTCCCCAACACCCAGCCCGATGACCACACTAACACACAACCAAGCACTGGGGGGAGGACTACCGATCACGGCCTGGGTGTCAGGTATAGCATGGCATGTTATTTTTCGCCGGAACCCACTTCCGGGTTCACGGCGTTCAGCCCCGCCCCTTTCTCTGACGCGGTCCCTCCACGATACTTAGGAGGACCGCGCCAGATTCAAAGGGCTGAATTATTCGCAGAGGTGCTGCATGAAGATCAGCTGCTCCACTTCTATACCTCGGCTAGTAAACGGATTTCTACCTTCTCCACTTCTCGACCTCGGCTTGTAAACGGATTTCTACCTTCTCCACTTCTCGACCTCGGCTTGTAAACGGATTTCTACCTTCTCCACTCCTAGACCTCGGCTTGTAACTCTGAATTCTACCTTCTCCACTCCCAGACCTTGGCTTGTTAAAACGGACTTCCCCACTCTCCACTCCTAGTTCTCAGCTTGTTGAAACGGACTTCTAATTTCTCCTTCATTGGGTGAATTAACCCTTCCAGTGCCAGAACTGCCTTTAAGTTAAGTAATACTTTTACCAAACAAGTCAATTACTATTATTTATATTACACAGTATCTAAAACTTACTAAAGTGTCACTTTGTCTAATTATTCCTCTTACTCATAAGGGATTGCTACAAAGCCTAATTTTACCTACATGAATATTTAAAGGTACAGTGACCATAGTTTCATACCAATATAAACGGAGGTAAACCTTATTGTTGTTGCAACCAAGAAATGCTGCAGTTGAGTTCCAATTAAAACAAGTATCACAGAATATATCACAGAATATATCACAGAATAATTCAGCCTTCAATGGAACCAGCAGATATTAATTCTCAAGTTTCTGCCCTAACCAATAGAGTGGATACGATTGCTCATGGGTTACAGGAACTGCAAATTACAAATGAGAGAATATTAACCTATGTTAGAGACATTCAAGGTCATCTTCCTCATGCCGCTCTTCAATCGGCTGGTGATCCTGCTGTCTGTAATCCAGAAAAATTTTATGGAGATAGAACAAAGTACAGAGAGTTTTTGAATTCTTGCAAACTACTAATTGCTTTAAAACCTAGATCTTATCCCACCGAAAGATCCAAAGTCTGTTCAGTGATCTCTTTTTTAAGAGGTGAACCTATGGCATGGGCCCATTCCTTTTTGGAAAATGATGATCCCATATTGGATTCATTGGATGAGTTCTTTGAAGCTATGTCTTTATTATATGAAGATCCTTTTAAACAAACTACTGCTGATTTAACCATCAGAACATTACATCAAAAGAATAGACCTGTTGAAGATTATATTGCAGAATTCAAAAGATGGGCTACAGAAACCCAATGGAATGACATTACTTTACGCAATCAATTCCGTCTCGGATTATCTGAAGCTGTGAAAGATGAACTCTCTCGTACAGAACTTCCTCCTACCTTAAATGCATTGATTCAACTGTCTATCAGTATTGATAGACGTCTAAGAGAAAGAAAAGCTGAAAGGGTTCTTACTAATTCTACCTGGAGAAAACCTTTCACTACTCTAAAACTACCTGGAAAAATTCCTCCACAAACTGAACCTATGGAAGTAGGTATAATAAAAAGTCCTCTTACTTCTGAAGAAAGAATGAGAAGGAGACAACTAAACTTATGTATGTATTGTGCCTCGAATGAACATCTAATTTCCGAATGTCCTCTACTGAAAAATTCAAAAGGTGGTAAGCTTCATTCATCTACCTCTATATTGAACGTTTTTCAAAAAAGAAAAGCATCTACTTATTTTTCTATATCTCTCATATTACAGTGGGATACAAAAAGAATCGTGACTGAGGCCATCATTGATTCTGGTGCTAATGGAACTTTTCTTGATTTTTCTTTTGTTTCAAAAAATAAAATTCCTTGTGTTCAAAAAACCAATTTATTCCAATCAGAGTTATTGACGGTTCATTTATATCCTCAGGACCCATCAAAGATGAAACAATCCCTCTAAGAATGATTACCAACAACGTACATTTCGAATTCATTACATTTGATGTTATTAAATCTCCACTTTATCCCGTCATTCTGGGAATTAATTGGTTAAAAAACCATGATCCTTTAATTAAGTGGTCTCCCTTCTCCATCTCCTTTGCTTCTGATTTCTGTAAAAAAACGTGCTTACAACACATTCCTATTCTCCAAACTACTGTAGAACCAGTTATACCTCCATTCTACTCCGATTTTTCAGATGTTTTTTGTAAAAAAGAAGCGGAAACACTTCCTCCTCATCGGCTATATGATTGCCCAATAGATCTCATACCCGGAGCCCCTATTCCTTATGGTCATATTTATCCACTCTCTGAAAAGGAGTTAGAAATTTTAAAAGAATATCTCAATGAAAATTTACGCAAAGGGTTCATCAGACCCTCGACCTCTCCTGCTGCTTCTAGTATTTTCTTTGTGAAGAATAAAGACCAAACCATCCGTCCTATTATAGATTACAGAGCCTTAAATAAAATAACTATTAAAAATCGTTATCCTCTTCCACTAATAAATGAATTAATTGAAAGGTTAAGAACTGCAACTATATTCACTAAACTCGACCTTCGAGGCGCATATAACCTCATTAGAATAAAACAGGATGATGAATGGAAAACCGCCTTCCGGACAAGATATGGTCTCTACGAATATCTAGTGATGCCTTTCGGGCTCTGTAATGCCCCTGCAACGTTTCAACATTTTATCAATGATATCTTTAGAGATCTTCTGGATGTATGTGTTATTATCTACTTAGATGATATCTTAATATATTCTAACAATTTGGATGAACATAGGAAACATGTTAGATGGGTTCTATCTAGACTGAGAACTCATAAATTATACGCTAAACCAGAAAAATGCCTTTTTGAGGTTACTGAATTCTCTTTTCTAGGATACATTATTTCACCTCATTCTTTGAAGATGGATAATTCCAAAATCAAATGTATTATTGATTGGCCTGCTCCTACTACTACAAAAGAATTACAACGTTTTCTTGGATTTGCAAACTTCTATAGAAAATTTATTAGAAACTATTCGGATGTATCACATCCTCTTAACCTCCTCAACAGTAGTAAACGTCCTTTTAATTGGAATAAAGATGCTCAAACAGCCTTCGACGAATTAAAAAAAAGATTTACAACTGCACCTATTCTACAACTACCTAATCCAACATTCCTATATGTTCTTGAAGTTGATGCATCAGATGCAGCCATCGGAGCAGTTCTTTCTCAACAAAAGACTCCACAAGATCCACTTCATCCAGTTGCCTTTTTTTCAAGATCCTTGAGCTCTGCTGAAAAAAATTATCCTATTGGTGAAAAAGAATTATTAAGTGTTAAAGCTGCCTTCGAAAATTGGCGTCATCTTCTGGAAGATACAAAACAACCTATAATAGTTTATACTGACCATAAAAATCTTGAATATCTCTATACTAACAAAACCCTTACAGCTAGACAAGTTAGATGGAACCTATTCTTTAACCGATTTAACTTCCAATTAATATATAGACCTGGAAATAGAAATAAAAAGGCTGACGCTCTTTCTCGAATTCCTTCTAAAACTACTACTGATGATTATCCTTCTACCAAAATAATAGGAATCCTCTCTTCTCTTCATGATGACATAAAGAATTTGAATCAGAAGGATCTTGAACTTCCCAAAACACCTATACTAACAAAAAAGGATGGTCTATTTTATTTTAAAAATAGAATTTATATTCCTCCCATTCTTAGGAATAAATTACTTAAGATGGTTCATGATTCCCCCCTAGCTGGACATCCTGGAATAAAGAAAACACTTGAACTAACTTCACGATATTATTGGTGGCCTCGCCAGGATAGAACCATTGAATTATATGTCAAAACATGTCCTATCTGTCAAAGGTCTAAACCAGAACATAATCAACCTTTTGGATTACTACTTAACTTACCTATTCCAGAAAAACCCTGGCAATCCATTTCTATGGATTTTATCGTTGATCTTCCACCTTCTCAACATTTCACCACTATTCTTGTCGTTGTGGATCGCTTCACAAAAATGTCCCATTTCATTTCTTTAAAAAAATTACCCTCCTCTGTAGAATTGTCTAAGGTCTTTATTGACAATATTGTGAAACTTCATGGTCTTCCTGAAGAAATTATTTCTGATAGGGGGACACAATTTACCTCCAAATTCTGGAAAGAGATGTGTCTCTCCCTTCAAATTCAACGCAAACTCTCTTCCGCTTATCATCCCCAAACTAATGGGCAAACAGAAAGAGTTAACCAATGTTTGGAACAATATCTTCGATGTTATTGTTCATACCTCCAAGATGACTGGACCACATGGTTACCTATGGCCGAATTTTCTTACAATAATACCATTCATTCTAGTACGAAAATGACTCCTTTCTTCTCCAACTATGGTCTTCATCCGTCTTCATTCCCCATCCAAACCATTACTTCATCCAATCCTACTGTTACATCAAAAAATGAATTTATGTCTTCTCTATTTTTCAAATTACGGGAGAATCTTCAACTCGCCCAAAATAACCAGAAAAGGTTTTTTGACAATAATAGAAGAATTCCCCCTCCTTACAAGGTAGGGGATCTTGTCTGGCTCTCTTCAAGGAATATTACCACAAGCCGTCCTTCAAAGAAATTGAGCTCTCTTTTTCTTGGTCCCTTTCAAGTAATTACTATCATTAATGATAACGTTGTTAAACTAAAACTTCCTCCAAGTTTTAAACTTCATCCAGTATTCCATGTCTCCTTACTTAAACCACACATCCCTGATCCTTTTTATAGGGAAATAGTAACAACTCCTGAACCTATCATTGTCCACGGTGAAGAAGAATATGAAATTCACAAAATTTTGGATTCTCGTGTCCACCGTGGCTCCTTGCAATACCTTATCAGATGGAAAGGTTATGGAGTTGATGAAGACACTTGGGAAGATTCATCTAATGTACATGCTAGGAGGTTAGTTGCTGCCTTTCACAAACGCTATCCCTCCAAACCGAAATAGTGCACCCAGAGGATGCCCCATGGGAAGGGGGTACTGTCAGGTATAGCATGGCATGTAATTTATCGCCGGAACCCACTTCCGGGTTCACGGCGCTCAGCCCCGCCCCTTTCTCTGACGCGGTCCCTCCACGATACTTAGGAGGACCGCGCCAGATTCAAAGGGCTGAATTATTCGCACAGGTGCTGCATGAAGATCAGCTGCTCTACTTCTGATCCTACCTGCTCCACTTCTATACCTCGGCTAGTAAACGGATTTCTACCTTCTCCACTTCTCGACCTCGGCTTGTAAACGGATTTCTACCTTCTCCACTTCTCGACCTCGGCTAGTAAACGGATTTCTACCTTCTCCACTCCTAGACCTCGGCTTGTAACTCTGAATTCTACCTTCTCCACTTCCAGACCTTGGCTTGTTAAAACGGACTTCCCCTCTCTCCACTCCTAGTTCTCAGCTTGTTGAAACGGACTTCTAATTTCTCTTTCTTTGGGTGAATTAACCCTTCCAGTGCCAGAACTACCTCTAAGTTAAGTAATACTTTTACCAAGCAAGTCAATCACTATTATTTATATTACACTGTATCTAAAACTTACTAAAGTGTCACTTTGTCTAATTATTCCTCTTACTCATAAGGGATTGCTACAAAGCCTAATTTTACCTACATGAATATTTAAAGGTACAGTGACCATAGTTTCATACCAATATAAACGGAGGTAAACCTTATTGTTGTTGCAACCAAGAAATACTGCAGTTGAGTTCCAATTAAAACAAGTATCACAGAATATATCACAGAATATATCACACTGGGACTTTCTGGAAGGAAGGGACTTCATACCACTCCACAAAACACTAACCGCCACTGGACTGACCCCCCTGGAACGCCTAATGGAAGGCCCGCCAGCTCCCATGCACAAATTCAGATACTCCCAGCTGACGCATTTCTACCACACCCTACCGAACAAACACGAGGTACACAGAACCCTCACGTGGTTTGAGGACATCTGCGACAAACAAACACCTACTCAGAAACCAACGTCGACGCTCTACCAATACCTAATCACAGATGAGCAGCAAGAAACTCGACGGTATAAGGAAAAATGGGAAAGCATCACCGACAAAGTTTTCACCGACGCACAATGGGACAAAATTCTCATCCTTCATCACAAATCCACGATTAGCTCAAAATACCAAGAAATGAACTATAAGCTATTGACATTCTGGTACAGAACCCCAGACCTGCTCCACAGAATATTCCCCAACACTTCGGTGACCTGTTGGAGATGTGAAGCAGATATTGGAACACTAAAACATATC